AGGGGGATTCATATGAGAGATGCGGAACCAGTTGAAACCAGTGCCCACGCGGAACAAGACCAAACGGAGTCTGCGTTAACTGAAAATAAGGGTCATCATAGAGCGGTACACGCTGTGGAGTATTAACAGAAACAAGATCCGCACCTCCTAATATCAAACCAAAAGAAACATTCGTTGTATGCAAGATACGAGGATCAGCAAAAAGATCATGAAACTCACGGAGCCAGGTAACAACACTGGGATTCCCTCCGGACCAACTATGCATGAGGGGAACGACCACAGCTTCGGTTGAAAAGATGTAAGCAGGATTAACGATAGAAGTGAAGGAAAGAGCAACAATAGAGTGTGAAATGAGGGGTGCAGAATTTTGACCAACTCCAGCAACATGATACTTCTTTGGTGTAGTTTGAATAGTCCTGGAACCCCCGGACTGAACAAGGGAAGAGGGAGAGAGACGACGACGAAGATTCTCGTGTGATCGACCCCCAGGGACAGGTTCCATTGCTGGTCCCCTGGGCAAGGTTTCCCAAAGCTGTTCCTTCGGGGGGTGGAGAAAGATGCGACGGATGTCTTCGCTGTAGATGGACTTGTTCCTGTCTGAACCAAGGGGTAAAACCAGGGAGAGATTACGTGCCAACTCCATCTCGTGAGAAAGTGCGAATGGTTTTGTTTGTCTGTCTGTACAGTACTGATATGTACTTTACGGACAGACAAGCCTCGTCTCAAGATTTGATGATCAAATTGGAGTGAAGACTGTACAGGTGAACCTTGCTAAGTCAAACTTCCATAAGTCAAATACCTCCCTAACTCAAATTTGTTTAAAGTCCCTGTCTGGATTCCAATAGAAACAATGCATTAAAAACCTCCCTAACTCGATGTAGTTTTCTCTCAAACCTCTGGAAGTCAAATTTTCTGAGGCCTTTTTGTCACTAGTTCCCTGAAATATGATTGAGAAAATCAACAAAACAAATCATTTTATGCATTTTGAAATCAAGTGAAGGACTAATTGAACAAATGAACCCCTGCCCACAAGTTCAGCAAGCTGTAAACTCATTAAGAAGCAAGTTTAGGCCTGGAATGCCCTCATATAAATTCCCATTTTTCTTGCAGAAAAAATATTTGTTCCCTTTCCTCAAAAGAATCAAAAACTCCCTAAGTCGAATTTTTTTCCTGGTCCCTAGAAATTTGACTTAAAGAGGTTCAGTATTTTTCATCTAGAAATACCGTGAAAAATCACTGTGCGGCTTAAAAACTCCCAATTGAACTAAAAATAATAATAATTTTCTATAATAATAGCTTACTGCTTGTCCCGAATTTTGAAAGCAGTCATTTATTTGTTGGTTTCGAGTCATTAATGACTCGAGGAGTATCAGGACTTATTTTGTGAAAAATAAATGTTTAACATATGTTTCGCTTGAAAGTACAGCTAAAGTACATCCTCACACCTGTTAATTTTCTATTAAAAATGTTTCCTGATCGGCCCAATTGATCTAATTTTCGAAATTGCTGCCTTAATTCCGGATGTGGCCTAAACAATCATATATATGTCCATTTTGCGCATAATTATAGCAATACAAAATTACAATGGTATGGTCCTTTTTTCTGCGGAACCCAAAGGAATTTGCTTGAATTTTGTTGGGGTTCCGCGGCTTTTTGACGGAAAAAAGTTGAAAACAAAAATATGCATGCAACACTATCTTCAAAAAGTGATATAGGCCAGGGACTCGAGGTATTATTGTAAAATATAAAAAAGTTTTGTTTCAATATTTTCATCAGATCCAAACGAAAAACAATGTCCGAAACTCTGCCACATTTTTTTTTTAGCTGAAAGATTCTGTCCACACCATATGGATTAAATAATAAAAGCCTTCAAAAGGGGTTTCCTTAACATGAAGGATGAAATACGGTACTTCAAATTGATTCTTATTGACTGGAAGGAATTCTTAATTTCCTTTCCTTTTGTGCTAGGAGGATAATTTGCAGAAGTATCCACGTGATGGCGTTCTAATATAACTAGCAGATTTGTTGCGCAAAATAAGAGAAAAACACGTAATTTCAACAACAAAACGGAAGCAATTTTCACGAGCTTCAATAAATTCGCGTTACCGTCGAAGAATTCCTTCGTGATGTCTATTAATCAGTGATGATAATCTTTCCAATTCGATCTATTTCAATAATATTCACGACTTGTGGAGATTATTTTTTAATCTACCGGTTAATCAAAACGTTCAGGCATTAATAGTTGATTTATTTCTGTGCAGGTTCGCCACTCATAGCATTTTTTTCAGTTTAATCATTGTGTCATCATTCTACAGTGCGTGACAGAAGTGTAATTAGATTCTGATTATACTCGCGCGAAAAAAAACCTGCTGTACTTCTTTTTTCATGAATTTGACTCAAAAATTCAACGATCGTTTTAAATGTTATGGCATATTATATTCGATAGCGTCCTTTTTAGGGTCAAAAAGTGATTTATGTCGAACCGGTTCCTTTTGAACGAAAAATTGGTATTCAAAAATAAATTGAACGAATTCTGACAATAATTCTCAGTTCAAGATCACAAAAATAAAAATCCTGGCTTAGTTTGAAATATTTAGGGGATTAAAGTATAAGAAAAATTAAGAGATTCCTCTGATGCAGATGAAACTAAAGTCTTTTAAATTACATGTATTGTGTCTTTTACTTGCGAAATGGTTATTCTTATTCTATAAGGAATAAAAAAATTGATTCGCGTCTTATAAGAATCTTATATACTTGCTTGAGTCAAGATGATGAGAAATAAAATTTAGAAAAAAAAAGAGAGAGACATGCTCACAATCCCAAAAACTTTTCAAGTGACCCTTCCATGTGCACTTGAGTGGGCAGAAATCGGAACTAGATCAGGTCTTACATTTTCTCTTCCTCTCCCAGGGGTCAGTGATTAAATGGAATTGCTTCCGGTGCTGAACCCTGGCAACATTGAGTACATTTGCTCAAAGAATCCCGCACCCCTTAAATCACGGCTATAAAGGATTGATCCAGCAGAAAACCCTGAGCTTCCCCAGCTTAACCAAGTACTGTACAGTATCAAGAAAATTTATGAACATATGAACCGAAAATCTTTTTGTTCGAAAAAAAAGCAGGCGCTGCATCGAATAAACGACCGAAAATTAAATTTTAAAGTTGACTTTCAGGAAGGATTTTTTTTTCATCGTTTCAGTAAAAATACGGTAACGGGTGTATTACTCCCTGTTTCACGTGACGAAGAATTACATGGCCTGCAATTTCCTACCAATTAACCACACGCTGAAATTGAAGCGGTGCCAAGGATTTCGTTTTCACAATTTCCTGAAAATTTATTTTTAAACGGGCAAGGATGGATTTTTTTTGTGAAGGTCATTCAATGCAGGGCGAAACGGGGTTTTCCTAAATAATAATGGGAAAAGACTCGGATTTCATTATTCTAGCGAGTGATTTTCCCTCGCTCTATTTTTTCTTCGAATGAGTAACATGCGGAATATCAAGTCTGTTTTAAGTTTATTCCAAGCTTGTTTGTTTCCTTTCCAAGGCGTTGAACGCTGACCTCGATCCGGTCAAAGCTTTGCCCCCAGGCAAAGGCCTTCGCGCCTATCAATCACTGCAGCGTTGCCAACTATTGTTTTGTTGAAAAACCCGGGATCGTCTTGCACATACTTAAGAATATCCGTCTATTTTCCCGGAAAATGTAATCCCATGAATTGAATCGGATCTCGTCATACAAAGGCTCATTTTTATTGAAAATTGCTTGTGGATCCTTCAAATATTTTTGCGAAATCCGAATTGATTCTTGTAAGCTTTAAAATATGAAAGCACTGATCTTGAAAAAAAAAAAGATCAGTGAAAGCATAAGCAACAGCATATATCAGAAAACTACGGTTATGATGAGCGATTTCTCTGGAAAAGATTTTTCACAAAAAATGAAACCTTTTCTACAAAAAGAAATCATGGACAGAGAAATGATTGCTGGAATTATTTTCAGAGAATTTTACACTGAAGAACTTTCGAACACATACTATACTGTACTTCAATTACACGGAAGGTAATGGATATACAATGCCGAATTTACTGAAGTGCATCATTTTTTCAGTAATTGGTTTAGCATGCCGAATTTTCTCAGGCATTTAATTTTTAAGACGCAAAATTAGACAAAAGCGTATTCCTGAAAATGATGATCAACCCTGTTTTCAGTGCACAACATTAATAATTCAAGAATCACGTACAGCAATTAAGTTCTTCTATTCATAGTCAAATAAACGAGAATGCAATACCATTCAATTTTTTAAAAATTTTATGAAGCATCGGTGATGATATCCGAGGATAATGAACACAGGCAGATTTTTGAAGAAAATCTTTGTACTCAAGTATGACGAACATTTCAGTTTTTATCCTTTTTTACAAATAAGAGGTTGTGTTACAGAATAAATTGTGTTCTCTCTACAATCTAAACCTGATTATAGAGTGATTTTCAAATTCTTTGATACGCCAGAAATTCTGTCAAGCCAAAGAGCGTTTAAAGTTTATGTTATTTTCCCTAGCAACATTTTTATTTCCAAACAATGATTTGGATTTCGTTGATGAGAACAAAAATTTCCCATGGTCGAGAAATTCTAGCCTGCAAATCTGTGAGCTTGATCTGAATCCATGAAAGCCAGACTCGCAAGTGCAAATTGATGATTTCTGCAAAATAAGTTGCAACTAAAAATGTATTGGTAACTCTGACCGCCTCTTTCATTCCCTGTATCCCCGGGGAATATCCTAGCAACTAATTCCAGTCATCAGTAATTTCCAGGGACGTTAAAGAAATCGATCACGCACCTTCTCCCCCACCTAGTGAAATCGAGTTTACTAAAAACGCTGCGTCCTGTTTCTTTTTCCTCTGCTTTTTTTTTTTTTTTTTTTTTTAATAGCCGACTTCCTTCTTTGTTCAGGGTGCGGTTGAGACTTGTATAAAAGCCTTGGTCACCTGACCAGAATCCGCATCAAAGCTGATTGAGCACTCTTACAGCAAACACATTTTCATTCGAGAGAAAAAAAAAACCCCTATTCAACAAACATGAACTCCGTGAGTATTTCTCGGAATTTTTCTTTGAAGTGGTGTTCAAACGAAACTTGTTCTATATTCGAATGCCGATTGATTCGGACTATTTGATACATGTGCATAAAGAAATTTTCGAAGGAAAGTGAATACTAAATATTGTGGCAGCATTTTCAAGCAAATATTCAATAATGATGATTCAAAAAATTCTTGAATTCTGCTATTGGGGTCACGGTGCAAAAACTGTTTTATGCAGTTTTGGTATTTTTAGAAAATCTCCGGTGCATTTTCAACACTAACGGCTCGAAAATAAAAGTAAAAAGGTGTTCTAAGATAAAAATTGACGATTTGGTAATTTTATTTTAAAGAATTTTGTGAGCTTATTGTGAAAAATTGGTTTGACACACAGAATGAAAAGTGAAGAAAATACAGCATTTTTCATCACGGGCAAAGTTTGACACCTCGAAAAATTAAGGAAAAGGGGGGCTCGAGATAAAGATTGGTAATCATCAATTTTATTTTAAATTGTGAGCTTGCATGATGTGAAAAAAATGGTTTGACGCAAAGACGTGAAAAATAAATAAAATATCCTTCGACACGGGTGAGGTTTGAAACAGCAAGGATTTTTAAAGTTCCAAATAAATGGAGGAAAGCCCGGGTTCTGCCTGCTGAGATGAAACCTACATTTTCCTACTGGTCGACACGAAAAGCTTGCATTTTTTTCTGAATTATGAGGGTTGACATTTTCTTTGACAATTAAATACGGATTATTCCGATTTCTTATACAGTATTTTGAAACTGTTTTCCCCAGGTTTTCGTCGCCCTTGTCCTGTCAGGCGTGGTGTGTGCTGCTGTCGCTGACCTGGGTTATGGTCACCACCGCAGTTACGCAAGCACCCCGTACCATGCTGACCAGGGTTACGGATATCATCACCGAGAACCCGCTTATGGCCACCACGCGGTTTTGACACCCGTGCACCCGACTTACAGCACGGGTTACAAACAACACCAGCACGTCGGTTATGGTCATCATGGCCATCATCAGCCAGGTAGACTATAACCGATAAAATATTCTACGTTGAGTTTTATAAAGTAGCCTCTGCTTGGAAGCTGTATAAAGAAACAATTGTTTTTTAAGAAAACGAAATAAATTAATGATAATCATCTGATTTATTTGTTCTCCGCTCCACAATAAGAAGCAATACCCATAACACCATAGTGAAATCTCATAAAGAAAAATCTTGCAAAAAAGTATGGTTTACGGCAAATGCATTTTTGGGATTGAGCTATTATTATTTGTATCTTTTTGGGGGTTTTCCTGGCCTCAATCTGTTTGTTGTTAGCATATTTTAATTTAGTCTTATATATAGTTTAATAAGCAGACTTTAATACTGTGTTACTTAATATAGCCATCATCAACCAGGTAACCCGCAGTCAATGTTTTATGTTTAATAAAATACCCTCTCTTTGTTGTTGATTGCGGGCAGTATAAATGAATGAGCTTTTTTGGGGGGGGGGAATCATAAATTCATTCTAGAGATATTATTCTTTTTTTCCTCATTCCCACAAGAAGCAACAATAACACGTCCACAATAAAATCTCATAACGACAAATCTTTTGAAAAATTATTGTTCATGGCAAATTCATTTTTGATATTGAATTATTATTTCTTGAATGTTGAAGTT